ACATTATACAACGTACTGCACTTCATATTTTCTTCCAACTTCCATTCTAATCTTTGTTAATCCATCCAGACTCATCTTAAACGGCTGATAAAAGCTTCTACTTTGAAGAAAACATCAAATAGTACAGCAATTAGTATGTAAAACAAGATTATTTCCCTGGATCAGTCTTCAGTTCCTATCCCATAAATCACTCCTAACCAGAGCACATGGTCACATGGATCCACACGCTTCAAAGGTGATGTAAATATTCCATAGGTTGGAAGGAGATCACTGGGTTACCCATGGAAATACCTGAGTCCTACACCCTGGTACCACAGCCTCATCAGGGATATCTGCAGCATTGCCTTCTGGAAAGCTGGAAAGTTAAACTCCTGCACTGTGACTGCAGAGAAACCCCAAAATCCATCAGCCCCCATCTCTGATCCCTGGAAAAAGGAAGGGCAGAATGGGAATAAATCACACAGACTCCATTTTTCTTCATGGTGGAAAAAGCCCATTCTTTATTCACACAACTCCTTTTTTTCGGTTTTACAGACCTGGTGTGGGATTCCAGTTGGTCAGGAGCTTTCCTGCCAATTATTTTATTGGTCAGTAACAAATTGTTATTCTTTATTCATTGGTCACTCAAACTCTGGATGTATATCTGCAGGGAAAGTTGTTTATGAGAGAAGTTTTGATTTTTGTTTCTAACATTTTATACATGTGCTGGTTGTTTTATACCCAGGAATAGATTGTGATGTTAATGGACTGCTCACACCAGGACTGATTTCACATGGGAACCTGCAAAGTGCCAGCTTGACAAGGCCAGCCATGGATTTTAGGAGAGCAGGCCTGATTTTATGAATTCTTTATGTTTCTTCTACTTTATTGCAACAGGACAGGACCACTGCACATCCTCAGGGATTTACACACTCATTTACAAGGGCAGAGACACAGACACACACCAAGACTCACAAAATCAGTGCCTTCCCAAAAAGCCTTTCCAATTCTGATTTTGTGTGCTGTAAATTGAGGTTGTGGCCCTCACTTATTTTACTCCATTCTTCAGAGATTTCACCAGCCACCAGTAGAGTATTTGCAAAAAGCCATCTGTGGCATCAGAAAAGTCTCCTGAGGATGCTTCTCCCCTCTGATACAACTGTATTGGCTATCACATTAAATGAAATACAAATCTGCACTGTAGAGATTCTTGTGTTCCAGGCTGTGGGCAATTTCTTTGGGGTCAATAAAAGCTTAAATGAAAACAATGAACCCTACTCCAGCAGTATTTCGATCTCTTAGCAATGGCAGAGCAGTACTTTAATAGATGTTAATTTAAAATTGAGAAGATTTAAAATTCAGAAAAATATTTAAATTAAGATAGATGTTAATTTAAAATTCAGATCCTATTCATCCCTAATTTAAAATTAAGAAAATGTTAATTTAAAATTCAGAAAATACTCCTTCTTTCTCCACATCCCAGTGCTGCTGGATGCTGGGCTGCTCCTTGTGGGAGTCCAGGGCATCCCTCTGGCTGCCCTGGCAGGTCTGGGACCCTGGCAGGGGTCAGGAACCCCCCTGGACAGAGCCCCCAGAGACACTGGCTGTGATCTCTGGCCATGGAAAAGAGTTTTCAATCTTACAGGATCAATTACCAGCTCTGAGTATTTGATATAAGGAATAATTAAGTGTGGCACGGGTGCAAAAGTAAAATTTTAGGATTCTAGATAAGGGGTTCAAAGGGGACAAGATGGAAGAAATTGGGTGTGTCTTGTCCTTTTTCTCCTTCTTCATGCCCTCCATGTTTCACTGCGGTGTTGGCATTTTTCTGTTGGTTCAGGCTGGGGACACACTGTCCAACGTAGGTGACAGATATTGGCACGTTATTGTAAATCCAGCACAGGTAGTTTGTGGTATTTAATGTTTGTACCATCCCACTGAGGGCAGAGCCCCACACGCTGCCCTGCAGGACAGAGCTGCGGCAGGGCAGCAGAACATGTTAGAGATAAACAGAATAAACAACCTTGAAACAGCACAGACAAATTATGGCTTCTGCTTTGGCAGCGGGGCTGACAGACAGAGACTTTCTACAATCTCAGAATCATCAACACCACAGATTCCAACAGCTCCTAAACTCTGCTCCCTGTGGAACACAGAGCACAGGGCTCAAGGGGAAAATCCTTCTGGAAATGGGGGACAAGCCCCAGGCATCTGCCGCTCTCAGCTGCTGGAGGAGCTCCTGAGATGGGCACAAGCTGCCTCCAGGCTGGCAGCAAATCCTTCACAGCAAATCCGTCACAACTCTCGGGGGCTGGCACACTGCAGCACTTCTCTGAGATGCATTTTATTAGTACATAAACTAGGATGAGATCTGTTGCTGGCAGGGAGAACAAAGCTACTCATTAAGAAAGATGGAGAGGTTGGTAATAATTGCCTCAGCAGCCCTGGCTGATGGCTTCACACCTCCAGCGCTGCTCATGTTCAGGAGCTCTCCCAGGTTTCCCCCTCTGGAGCTGAGGGAAAGCTCTGCCCATGGACTCTGTCCTGTTCATGATAATTATGGATTTTATAAGAATTTCCTGCCCTGAGCTGAAGGTGTAAGGGAATAAAGGCTGGCTAGTTTGCTTGGAGAGCACTGACTGAGACAGCAGCACCTTCCTACAGCTGGTGGGGAGAGAGGAACACATTTAGTGACCTTCTGGAAGAGCTTCTTTCCTACCACTGATTGAAGAAATAAACACAGAGAGATCAGCTGAATGTATTTCCCATTCACCAGGAATAGATCCTCTGCAAACATCACTTTAAAAGATTAGATGAACTGGCTGACAGGGCAATGATTGAATGTCTGGGGTTTTGGTTGTGTTTTTTTTTTAATTCCACACTTGTAGAAATGTTAAGAAACAAAACAAACAGGGTGTAGGAAATGCACAGAAACAATCGAAATGACCAAAATAAACATCACCTTTTCCTCACCGTGATTCACTCCTGCAGAACTGTGGGAATAACGTGGAGACACCTTAGTGGTAATTGAGCTTTTAGAGGCCTTTAGAGCTGCTGACAGATTAATAGGTTGCTATCATAAATTCTGACATCCTTGCAATTTCTGTATTCCTGGATTTACACACAAACTGAACACTGTAAACACTTCAGCGCCTCAGCTGCAGCATTACACATCTGTTAAGGCTGCTGGTAACTTTATGAAATAACACCATGTCACAAAGCAAGTCAGCATTCTGCAATTAAACTGAGTCCAGGCACCACAACGATTCCAACAGATAATTTTCCAAACTAATTGCCTCAAGGAAACTCCAGCAACACTAAAAATCAAGTCTGTTGAAAACAACAGTGTAAAAGCAGTACTTTCACTGCCAGTAGTATAAACACAAGAGGTTTTAGAGTTTGTTTCCTGATTATTAAGTTCCATGCTGTGTAAAGCAATTATTACAGCCCTCGATTTCCCAATCTTTGTGTTTATTAAAACTAATGAATGTTTTTAGCATACAGGAGACTAAATAAATTTGCATAGGATTACAACAGGCAGCCTATACTCATCCCTGTAGGCTTAAACACGAACTGTAAAAGAAACATTTGCCCAGTAAATAAGCAAGCTGAAAGCTGAACTCCTCCTCCTTTAACTCAGTCCGTGCCTAGAGTTGAATTGGAGTGGGCTGCAAAAATTCTGTAATAAACTTCTTCACAATCTGGTGCAGATTTGGTTGACATAAACCCTAAAATTGTGCTAAAATTAGTCTAGCTGTTTTTTCTATTCAATGAAAGCCTTATGGAGCAGCTCAGTTTCTGATTCAGAAATCTCAAGAAGCCTGAGGTAGAGAAGTGAGGAAAGAGCACAGAGAGATTTGCTGGCCAGGGCAGTGCCAGGGTCACTCATGGACATGCCAACACTTCCCAGGTGTTCCAGTTACAGAAATCAGGCCTCGAATCCAATAAAACCCCTGGACTGTCAGTGCTGCAGGTATTTCCTGAGCACTGGCCAGCTCAGGCTCCTGCTCTGTCAGGAGCTATTCACCCACTCCTTTGTGATGGAGCAGGTAAAAAAGAGAGAGCAATGAAAAGTGGAAAGTTCTGTGGGGTTCTGCACTGTTCACAGCCTGAGGCACAGCCCCAGGGAGCTCAGCCCCACAGCAAATGAAAAGTTTTGTCCTTCCCCATAGAATCACAAATGTTTTGTTGAATTTCTCATCAACTTCAGTGAGATTCCCTCCATAATTGAATCCTGCAGCTTCCTCTTCCTGGTGTCCTCTGTTCCTCTTCCTCCTCGCTCTCTGTTCCAGGCTGTTTAAAAATCTAATTTTTACTGCAAGCTGGAGAACAGGGAGACAGCTTCTCACCCTTACACCCAGTCTTCCTCTTCCTTTTTCCGCAGGCTGGAAGGAAATTTCATTTAGTACTTAGACGCCCAAATTCACACCAAAAAAAAATTTGTCTCAGCAATGAAGGAGAAAAACTACAAACATCAGCTTGAAAAAGCTGCAATCAGGAAGAATTTGCTACTACACTGAATGGGTTGTGCTATAAGCATAAAATTTTCATGCAGGAGAAAGTAGCTTAATATTCTTCCCTGTAAGATTCTGTCCATCTTCTATTAGAGCCAGACATAATTAAAAGTATCTGCTTAAATCTTTTGCCTCATTTTCCTCTAATGTGCCATCTAGGCCTGAACAAGAATTAATATCAAGGAGCTGAATGAGCTGCTAAATGCTAATAGAAGATTTATCTAGGAATTGAATCACCAATGAAGAATTTTTCAAGGGAGGAAATACAAAATAAGGAAAAAAGAAAAGGCATTTTTGTAAAGAGGTGGTGGAGGAACAACTCTGGCTAACATTTACCTTTTGTTTTTCATACTAAAATAGAAATTTGGGGTTTTTTTGCTCTTTTTCATGATACCAACATAAACAGGGGGGAAAGAGTGTCTGGACTGTTCCTCTGTGGGGGCAATCTCTGTGATAATTACAAGGATTCTGTGGTAACAAGGGTGAAGTACACTGACTTGTAAATTCATGCACTATATTCCACTTTTATTTACTATCAAACCCGTAACAGCAAAATTGAGTGTCAGACAATAAAGCAAACGAATTCAATGTTCATATGAATATTGACATGTCTCAACATTGTATTTAGGACCCATTTGATAAACCATTAGAAATAGTCCACTGTCAGTTATAAATATTCATAAATTTGGTAGAAAAAAATACACAGAAACCAGAATTTTATGATAAAAATTCTGATTCTATAGTGCCCTAAATAAAAATCCTCAGGTTCATAATTATTTCAGAGAACTGATGGATAGAAAGAGATTCATCACATGAAATAAATATTCCCATGCTCTGATTTCAGAGGCAGACACCTCTGATGTTCAGTACTTGGTGTCATTTTCTGGAGAACAACTCAGTGCAGGCAAATTAAACAAGAAAAACTCAGGAAGGAAATCCAAGTAGAACTAAAGAAAACTGCAGTTGTGAGCACAGAGCTGATCTTGCCGGCTCTCAGTACAAGCCTCCTGTGCCTAAAGCCAGGTAATTCTGTAGAACAATGTTGTATTTATCTAAAATTAAGATTAAAGCTAAAGACTGCCTACAGCTCTGACAGTGGAACGTTGCTGTCTCATTTTAAATACCCAGCTTGGGGAGCTGGAACAAAACCACCCTCAGAACTGCCTATTTGGAGGGGCTGAATAATTGAAGAGCAGAGCAAAGAGCTGAAAAGATCCTGCTTTTTACTCAGTAACCACAGCAAGTTTGCTTTTTGCAGTATCTTACGAGATTTATGAAGTCTTCAAAAAGGATTCTCACTCATTTAAAGTAATTTTACAAACTCTGTTCTGAGCTATTACAAAATGTGTTCAGAGCTTGCTGCACAGCTTCCCACTCTGCTCTCCCACTGCAAGCACTGTGGTGAAAGGAAGACAGAGGAAGAGGCCTTTTATTTCCTCTTATCAGGGCTGCTTTTCAGTTGATCACATCGATATTTTTAATATTTTCTAGTAGACATTAAAAAAAACCCCAAAAAACTCTTTAGTTTGAGAACTCAAAAAGAGAAATTTGTGTATAAACCCTGTTATTACAAGAATCAGACACCTTTAGGATAGGTAGGGTTTTGACAGATGTTTCCTGACAAATCTCCTTTGGATGAACACTTTGCAGGCACAAACACAGATTTATTGGAAATCATTGGCTCCATCCTGTTTCTTTTGAAGTGAACTGAAGCTCTGCTATTCTCCTGAATAATAGCACAGTCAGTTTCTCAGCTCAGACTCTTGTCCTAAATACTTTTATGTGGCACTCTGCATGTAAGAGCAAATACAGAAAAGAAAAAAAAGAAGCCCCAAGCCACAGGACTGCCTTTATTTCCATCCTAAATCAGTTTGTCTTTGCTGGAGTGGAATTATTGAGCAGAGAATCCAGGGCATGCATTTTATTTTTACCTAACATTTGTACAGATTAAAGAGAAAGAAAAAAAAGAGGATCAGATTGACTTGGGATCAACTTGACTTTCCATCTTTTATTAGCTTCTCTTTTTGCTCAGAGACAAAATTTACAATTACTGAAGTGCAATTTAGGCTCTTTCAATCTCCAGTTTTCTAATAATAACATTCAGTTTTCAGAAATAAACATTTTCAAGAATAAAGGTCCATGGTGGCAAGGCAGATGCAGGGAAGAGGGGGCTGGAATTTGGGATGAGGGGCTCCTGCAGCTCTGTGCAGAAGGGTCTCAAACCCCCAGGCTGAGCTGAAATGGGGCTCCTGAACCCATGGAGAAGGTCCCAGGTGAGGCTGGGCAGGGCCACTGACATCTGGTGGTGTCCTCAGGTCCTGACAGACAGAGATGTGTTTTCATTTTCCAAGCAGCAGCTGAAGCAGACAGTAAGTTTTCCCTGGGGGTAAAAAAAAAAGTAATAAAATGAAGTAGAATAAAAAAGAAATGTCTTACTTGACAAAGCCTTACAAGCTTTGGGGATGAACAATGCTGGTAGCTGGTTTTTGTGGCCGTGGGTCATGCAAGAGAGCTCTGTTCTTGCAGGAATCCTACCCAAGGCCAATCTGAGAGTGCTGTCAAAATAGAAAGAACAGAAGCATTTCTATATAGGATTTTTAAAAGGAATTGATCCTGAGAAGTGCTGACCATTTTCTGGCAGGTTGGAGCCTTCATCTTTCATCACGACTCTCCCCCTGTGCTAACATCTCTATCTCAGGCTTCTTGAAATTTCTGAATCAGAAACTGAGTTGGTCCATGAGGCTTTCATTGACTAGAAAAGACTAACTAGACTAATTTTAGCACAGAATTAGGGCTTATGTCAACCAAATCTGCATCAGATTGTGAAGAACTTTATTACAGAATCATACATTGAACAACCACAGCAGATTTAAGATCATTATTAAACATATAGTAGGAAAAGTTCATTTTCTAGCTCTCGTTTGTTAAAAAAAATTGTCTGCCCACCTCTTTTTATGAGGCATGGCTAAAAATGTTTTATTTTAGTTTTCAAATGGAAAAAGTTGTACTTGTCTAATGCATCCCTATTTTAAACTGCAGAATTGCTATAAAGAGTGCAGATAGAAATATCATCATGATTTTTGGTGGAAGCTCTTACCTGCTCCTCTTCTCCAAAGCCATTATCCTGAGAATCTGCCATTGACTGAGGCTCTTTTGGCAGCCCCTTTCCTGGGGAGGTGAAGGAGAAGGAAAGGACTGACCAGCCAACTTTGAAGGCTTTTTGTTTAGCTGAAAATTAAGTTGTAAAGGTGGGAAGGGATTTTCTGAAGCTTAACTAATTGCTAATGAGATCCAAAGATTTTTCTAAAAAAGTCTTCTTTTGTATATATTTTAATGCTTCTGAGTCATGTCTTCCCCTCCCTTAAGGGTATAATAGTTTATCTTATGACCCTCAGTTCCCCAGGATTATACTGCTCACTTTTTTTATTCTTTTGTCTCCTTCCTTGAGAATCTCTAATGCATCGTTCTAAAATCTGTAATTAGGCAGATTTTCATCTCTTCACTGCCAAAGAGGGCTTGATTATCTCCTCAATTCTCATTTCAAACGCTGAGAATCACAATTCCCTGTGCTTCTAAGGACAATTGCTGCTCCATTCTAACCTCACTGACATCATGACCTGTGTGTTTTGCTGGTTTAATGTCTAAAGGAGGCAAATCCTTAATGTCCAAAGGAGTCTTATCTTTGTAAGCCTGAGCTGGGAGCAGGATGGAGATGTTTAACTTCATTCACAAAAGGTCCTGACACTCTTGAGAGGACTTTGGGCTCATGAGGAGATTTTTGCACCGGGTTTTAAGAGCAGGCCATGCTCAGGTCTGCGGCCTCAAAACTGCACAACCGAATTTGTGTAATTTCCTGTAGCGGTTTCAGAGCAAAAACAGCAGCAGGGCTGACCTGGGGCTGTGATCCCTGAAATATCAACAGCTTTCCAGGAGACACAGCCTCCTCAGGACGTGGGGGAGCTGCCTGGGAAATCGGATTTGTTCCCCGGTGTGCACCAATACTGACACGATGGAGACACACATGAACAATTTATTTCGGAGTTGTGCAAGCTGGGGTGCTCTGTGGTGCTCCACAAACACAGCACACCCCAGCAGGAAATACAGGAGCCACAGTGAACAGTGTAAGGTCATAAACCGAGACTCAAATTAGGTATTTGAAAATGATTTACTCATTGGCTGGGAGGTCAGGCTGCCCAGGGAGATGGTGGAGTCACCATCCCTGGAGATGGTTGGGTCTATGCATCTGGCAGATGTTGTTTAAGGGTCACAGTGGCAGCGCTAGGTGAACACTTGGGCTGTATGATCCTAAAGGTTTCTTCCAATCTTGATGATTCACAGAATCACAGAATCAATTAGGCTGGAAATGACCTTTGAGATCATCAAGTTCAACTTGTGACCGAATATCAACTTCTCCACCAGACCGCGGCACCAAGTGCTCCCTCCAGGGAGGTGACTCCACCGCCACAGTCCAACCACCCTTTCCGTGAGGGAATTCCTCCTAAACGTGCAACCCGGCCCTGGCCTGGCACTGTGTCAGCTATGACTCCGTGGTTGCAAAGTGCAGCCCGGCCGTGCCGGGGGACCCCCGGGCCACCATGAGGGACCAGCCCGTGACCCCTGCTCGCCACCCTCAACATGGCGGCCGGCACACCCCTCACACACCCCCAGCCCCGCCGCGCTTTCCTCACTTCCCATTGGCCGGGCGCGCTGTCAGTCTTTGCTCTCGGCCAATCATCGCGCGCGGAGCGGCGCGGCGGGCGGCGGCGCGGCCTGCGGCGCTGTGCGGGATGAGGCGGCTGCGGCCGCGGCCGCTGCTGTGGGCCGCGCGGGGCCCGCGCCGCCTCTCGTCGGGCGCTGCCCCGGGCATGGAGGAGCTGCTGCGCCGCTCGGTGCCGCCGCTGCCGCCCTACGAGACCAAGGAGAAAGCGCCGCCGCCCGCCGAGCTGCGCGGCGCGGAGTTCGTGCGCTTCTACCGCGCGCTGCAGCCCGGGCCGCCCCGCGCCGAGCTCCTCAGCCGCCTGGCCCGCGACTTCGGCGTGGAGCACGGGCGGGTGGCCGAGGCCGCCGCCAAGGTGCTGCAGGCCCGCGAGCAGCGCAGGGAGCCCGGGGCGCTGCTGCAGGCCGAGGACCGGCTCCGCTACTACCTGAGCCCGCAGTACCGCGGCCTCTTCCAGCAGCTGGGCCGCCTGGAGGGCGGGCTGCGCTTCCTCGTGGAGCTCAGGGCCGACCTGATGGAGGGGCTGGCCAGCAAGGCGGTGGATGGGCCCCACGTCAAGGTGAGGGCTGGCCTGGGTGGCTCTGAGGGAGGCTGGTGTGGGGGATGCGCTGTGGGGCTTTTCCTGCTCGTGGTGCTGCTCCTGTTAAGCTGGGAAGCAGCCCAGGGAAGGCAGTTCGCTGCTGGGGCTTTGTGGGGACTTTCCTCAGTTCAGGAAGGACATTGGAGTGCTGGAGTGGGTCTAGAGGCCAGGTTGGATGAAGAGCGGCTGAGGGAGCTGAGAAAAGGAGCTCAGGGGGGAACTTGTGGTTCTGCACAACTCCTGACAGGAGGGGACAGCCTCGGGGGTCGGGATTGCTCCCAGGGAACAGGGACAGCAGGAGAGGGAACGACCCCAGGCTGGGCCCGGGCAGGCTCAGCTTGGACATCAGTGAGAATTTCTTCACACAAAGGGACATTAAACATTGGAACAGAACCAGAGAGGTGCTGGAGTCCCCCTCCTTGGAGACGTTCAAGAAACCACTGCTTATGGCACTCAGTGACATGGTCTGGTGGACAAGGCTGGACTGGATGGAGTTTTCCAACAGAAATAATCCATAATTCTCTGGAGGGACACGAATGAACCTTTCCCCAGGCCATGGCAGCAGAGGGAGCTGCCTGTGCTGGCACTCAGGAAGGAAGTGGCCCCTGCTATGAAGCAATAGAGTGGCACTGGGAACTGCTGGCACACAAACACATCGTTTTAAAAGTTAATTTACAGTAGAACTCAGCTTGATTATTTTTCATGGTGATGTTTTAATTTTTCTCATCTCTCTCTTACGTTCTTTTCATGTGTGCTGGTCCTTCTCTTCACCACAGGACACTGATTTTTCACTGTCCTTATAAACAGTTGAATTTCTAATGAGCTCCTGCAATGCACAGAGTGAAATTTGCTGAAAATCTGTTTTGTGGGTGCACTTCCTCTTGCTGTTCAGAACTCACTCACCTGCAACATTTTACTTTTCCTGTGCCAGCATTTTCCTCTTGAGATTCGTTACATTTTGCTTGCTTACTTCACTTTGCTTATTTCAGCCCTTGAAATACGACTCTGGTGAAAAATTCAGAACATTATGATCTCAGGTAGCAAATCATCCAACGGTTGCTTTTAAAATATTCTTCATCTTTCCGTATGATTTAGAAAAAGTCAGTGAAAAGTTCAAGTTTCTGGCAAAAGATAATGAAAAAGAGAGCATTTTTATCAAATGGATTTATCTATAAACCTCCTTCCCTAATTAAGCAGTGGTTGGAGTGTATTTGTAATCTTGGTCTTGTGTTGATCTAGTGGAAAAAAAAAAAAGAAGCACCATCATTGTTAAAAGTTTGTCCATAAAAAAGTGTTTGGTATTTGCCTATCAAAAGTCCTGTGTAGCCATTTCATTAGTGCAGAGTTGATTTCAATTCTAACAGAAAGACAAATGTGCAACAAGAGTTTTATAGCCGCTGTATATTTGTGTCTGCACTGACAAGGAAATGTGGGAATAAAATTAAATGGATCTCCTTGATGCTGGTGGAGAATTACAGAATGCATTATGTGGCCCCCTGGGATTTTGGTTTTGCTCAAGCTACCTAAAATATTTCTTAGTCAGTCCTTAGTTTTTACTTTGTAATTTGAAAGACCTATTAAAACTGGGATTGTGTTGTAAATATGAAATATTTTTCTATTTTCTCAGCACTATCAGCATAAAAGCAGCTCAGACTGCTCAGATATTGGGTGATGTATGATTTCTATTTTATGTTTGTTCAACAGATATCAGTAAAATATCATATTTACATGATAAAGTCACTTGAAAGTGCTTGAGTACAATTTACTTATTGTCCAAATGACCAAAAATGGGGGGGGGGGGGGGAGGGGGAGAGAAATAATGTTTTTAATTTTAATATGTCAAATAATATAAACCACAAGAGCCAGGAGAGTTTTCAACACTGCCATTAGCACTGCAGTAATTACTATTAGCAACAAAAAAGCAGAAACCAGTCCCCTTTAATTGGTGTCACTATTGAATCCTGGTTTGCTGGTGGGCATATTCTTCCAGTATCTCACCAGGAATATTCTCTGTGTAGATTCTGAAGGTAGTTTGTGGGGCAAAAAACAAACAAACAAACAAAAAAAACAACAGAAAAAAAATCCCTGAAACCCCACCCAAAACAAACCAAATCAAGCCCCCAGCACAGATCTATTCTGATATTGCCAAGTATTTCAAAGACCCAAATTAAATAAATCAAGTTGAAAACTTCAAACATTCCAAACATGGGAAAGCTCAACTCTTGTGAAGCGTCTTTTATTTACTAGTTTGAGAGGGAAAGTGAAATAGTTCCCTCATCAGAGAAGCGTTTCTTCTTAATAAAAAATAATGAATTAGAGGTTTTCGTAAGAGTTTTCCAATTTGTTGTCCCAGAAATATGTACTTGATGTGAAGATTAAAAAGACTGTAATTTGCTGTCTCGTAGCAAGAACACGGAACGAGAAAAAAATAACCACAATTTATTAAACTTGGCTAGCAGAAATTGAAGTATAGTTGGTAATTTGAAATAATAATCTGAGTATGTCTTATTGCTCAAATTTAAGACTTGGATGCTGAATAATGAATGTGTTTGCTTTTCTTTTTAATGAAGTGTTGCAGATGTAATTTTTATGACTAAAAAGGCCTCAGAAATGAAAATAAGAATCTACATAGTACTAAATTTACAAAATAAGAGAAGCTGCCACTAAATCTGCAAAATAAGAGACCCAAATTTGAGTCTGGCCTTGTTGGAGTGAAGCTTTTTGGAAATGTCCTGTACACTGAGATATTAAACATAATTCAGAATCTTGTTTAAATGAATTAAAGTTTTGGATAGTGAAAGCTTTGATGTCTTTCTGCACTGAAAAGTTTTGTCAGCTCAGAGTCATGGAATCCTGGAAGGGTTTGGGTTGGAAAGGACCTTATCCAGTGCCACCCCTGCCCTGGGCAGGGACCCCTGCCACTGTCCCAGGGTGCTCCAAGCCCTGTCCACCCTGGCCTGGGACATTCCAAGGATGGGGAGTCCACAGCCTCTCTGGGAAAAATTTATTCCTAATATCCCATCTCAACCTGCTCTTTTCCAGTCTGAAGCCATTCCCTGTGTCCTGTTCTCCAGGCCCAGCTGGGGTTGGACTCAGTGGTGGTGGCAGGTCCCTTCCACCTGGAGCCATTCAAATTCCTGCACAGTGCCCTGTTGTTTTATAAAACTTTATTATTGACAACTGCCAGCTTGTTTGACTTGTAATTCTCCATAAAGAATATTTCTTTCTCCCCAAAAGGTGCTCCACCTTCTTCTTTGCTTACAGCTGCATTGCTTTTGTCCAGCTGCACCCTGGAGCTGCAGCAGCTGTGTAATGGAAATGGAAACTGTCCTCAGTTCCACTGGCATGCCTTGCTAAACCTTCAGAGGAGCAGAACTCATGACTGCAGTGCTTCCCACCGTCCTGGGCTCATCCTGATCCCCGTGTCTGCAGGAGCTGCAGGAGGAAATGCTGCCATCCCCTTCCCTCTCTGCCTGCTGCACTGCAGCCGAACTGCTGTTCCAAAAGCACGTGGGTGGCAGGAGAGCCTGCAGAATCTGTTCCTTTGCCCCCACATCTCACAGCTCCAGCTTGTTTTTCTGGTTTACAGTGTGCCCCTGCAAAAGAAAACAAACCAAATAATCCTGCAATGTCTGGAGACTTCTACTATACTGTGGGATATTTGACCAAAGTGATTTATTGTTATTATCTAAAAATTTCAGAGCTGTGCAGAAAGAAGAATTCACAAGGTTACTAAAGTCAGAATAAACAAACCAATCAGAATATATTTGTTTAGAAAAAAGGTATTGAAAAACAAATTACCATGGAGGACAGAATTGTTCTATGCAGATGAATGGCTGTTTCATCTGGGTTTGATTTTTTTTAGTATGTTAAGGAATAAACCTGTCCTTTTTTTCATTCTTGGAATACTTGTAGCAGTTACTTTGGCCAGCAGAAACCTGCTTTGGTGTTTGTCTTTTGACAAGTACCTCTGCAACTTTCATCTTGATTAGGTTATAATAGGAAATAGTTTTACTTTTTATGACAGTCCTGAGACCACATCTGAATTTAGGGAAAATATTTTACATTTTCTGGTTAGATTCATATATTTTTTCCAGTTGTTTTTCTTTAATGTAGCAAGCTAAAGTACATTGGAGCTTAATTTTTCTCTTGTCTATGTGCAGCAGTAGCTATTTAATGAAAGTTTGAATGGAAGGAGTTTTTGTTTTGAAGTAAATTTTAAGTTAGTTTCAGGCAAGTCCAGGTTTCTGGTAAGTTGGTATCACACTGTCTTGTGTACAAGGCAAATGGAAGAAAGCACAACAAGCTCTGGAATCTCTTTTAGGGATATTCATGCTGTGCTGAGTTCAAGAATACTTGTTAAATTCAAATAAATTTAGACAGGAAATCTTTAATAATACAGGCAGCAGGAAACTGGTAGGGAATATAAAAATCACTATTACAATGAACCACTGACAATGAAAGGGTTTGACATTGCAGTTGGGTTTCGTCTCACACTGTTCCAAAGCTGGTTTGATTTTCCAGTTCTATTGTCTTATGCTGCTGAGTTTTATTTTTCTTGCTCAAATATTTTCATGTTTTTAGAGAAGAAAAATTCTGTCTGCATCCTGTTGGAAGATATTTCCATGGTTTTGAAATCTGAGCTACTGTGAGACTGCAGCCTTGTGGACAAGTCTGCTCAAAACCTTCTACCCATTGTCTGCTTTTTGTCCACAGTGTTTTGCCTCATCTTCCCTGTCCCTGCTTGTACTGCAGACAATCCCTTCAAGGATTTTCCTGGTTGATTCCTGGACTATTTTGTGGTTAATCTTCTAAATCAGATTTATGAGTCTCCTTGAAGCTCCAGTGTTGTAGTTGGAGTCAATCAAGGTGGTCTTTACTCCCATTTCCATGTTTTACCTTGCTTTTCAGCAGCTCCTTCCATCTTTGCTCTGTTACAGGAGATGAATGGAGTTCTCAAGAACATGCTCTCAGAGTGGTTCTGCACGGGATTCCTCAACCTGGAGCGGGTCACCTGGCAGTCACCTTGTGAAGTACTCCAGAAAATTAGTGAGTAAGTGCTAAAGGCTGGAAGGAGTCCTTGATGAAGAGGTGATGGAATGCTTGGGACTGCAGAGATGCCCTGTTTTCAAGACTCTGCTTTTCTGAGCTGAAGGCAAAGTATAATTTTGAAATATTTGCATTAACATGCTGTAGAGCCCAATTTAAAAATGGATTGGAATAAAGAGTAAAGGGATAATTTGTGCCATAATTTGATCCTGTAGCTCCCACACTGCACTGCTAGAGTTCTGTCTTTCCTTCCAACTTTCTCAGTTACTCTTCCCACATTCCCAGAGGTGCTGCAGTGCTTTTGGCTGGAAGTGGTGAGATGCACAGGGTCACCTGTAAGCTACATGTGAAGGAAACACCTTGGGTTTTATACAGTATGCTCTACAAGACCGATTTCTGAATTTGTAACATTGATTTCTGAACGTACAACATTGATTTCTGAACGTACAACATTAAATTCTGAACCTACAGCATTGATGTCTGAATCTGTAACACTGATTTGTGAATCTACAACACTGATTTCTGAATTTCTGTCAAATAGTCAAAGTTGTGAAGAAGTTGAAAATTACTACAGTATTTGGTGGGCCACCTTGTTGTATAAAATCTTGAAGAAAAAAATATTCTCTAGGATGTTCTAAAAGTACATTTTTAAGTGTTGATGAGGCAAAGAGAACTTGTACAAGCTGAATTTTCCAAATAAAAATAATTAGTAATATTTAATTACTTTTTAAGATAATTTGTCAAACCCACTAGTGAGTGGGCGTGCAATATGCCTTTACAATCCACTTTGGCACAGCTTGCTGCCAATTTTACATTTTTCACATCCTGATTCTTGTTTTTTGCTTGGAAAGTTTTGTCACTGACATCAGTGGGAAAAGCACTGAGCTTGTAGGGCAGCTAATCTCTATTTTCATTGAAATTATAATAACAACAATGATGATGATGATGATAACGATGACAAAAAATTACTAATAATAGTAATTTTATTTTTCAATTTCCTCCTTGAGTTCTGAAGCTGTGCACCCTGTGAGAAACTGGGTTGATATGAAGCGCCGGGTTGGTGCCTACAGAAGGTGCTACTTCTTCTCTCACTGTGCCATCCCTGGGGAGCCACTGATTGTCCTGCACGTGGCACTAACCAGTGACATCTCCAGCAGCATCCAGGTACAGCCACCGAGGCACTTAGTACACAGCAAAGTGCTCAAATTGCAGTGTGCTTCTTTAAAAAGCCACAATACCCTCTAATTTGGCAATTTCTGCTTTGGTTTCATCTTTTAAGAGATGAGAGAATTAGCTCGTAAAAAATACAGGGGTATTTTGTCTTGTGTATTATGTAAATTGAAATTTTGAGGGTTTGCTCAAGAGCAAGAAGAATAAGAAAAGATAAGAAATATCTAGAGAAAATGAGACTAACATTTCAAAGTTGTTGCAATTACTTCTGAAAACTTTAAACCATATTACAGTTTTTCTCTGTACTTACTAATGAATAAGCAGCTCTTCCTATTTTTTTATCAGATTTTTATTGTTAATGAATAAAACAGTGGGGAAAAGTATTAATACATTTAAAAGTTAAAAAGAAAAATCTCCTCATAATGCTGATAAGAACGATTATTAACATTTTGTTATTTTGAATCCTTATTTTCCCAGGCCATAGTGAAAGAAGTGCCACCTTTAGAGACAGAAGATACAGACAAAATCACAACAGCAATTTTCTATTCCATCAGTTTGACTCAGCAGGGCCTGCAGGGGGTGGAACTTGGGACTCACCTCATCAAAAGAGTTGTCAAAGAGCTGCAGGTGGGTGTGCCAGGGTGTTTGCCCTGCACGGTTTAGTTCCCAATTCATGCCACTGCTCAGCCCAGGAGCTGCTGGGGCTTTCCCTGCATTTGGAACTTGCTCCCTGAGCAGCCTTTGGAGATGTGCAGAGCTGGAAGAGCATTTCCTGCTCTTGGCTGATGTCTCCAGATGTAGATTGTGTTCCACAGCTGACATGCTCTGTGTCAGTTCCTTGTGTGGGTGCCTGAAGTCAAATGAGAACATTTCTGTTGAAGGTGGCTTTGACACAGCCTTGTTCTGCTCTGGTACAATTCAGCTGCCTCTCAGTTGAGAGGGAAGAGCCTGATCAAGATATTATCTCTTCAAAGTACCTGACAGTGCCTTTTCCAAAATCTTACAGCTGCTTAAGGAACACAAACACTTCCTGGTCATTAATGAGTTCATTGCTTTGTTTGTTATATTGAATTGCCACTGGTTATTTATGCAGTGTGTATGTGTGCCCTGAATACATCTATTGAGAAAAATAAAAAGGAGAGAGATTTCTTTGCTCTGGTAAGTCTTGAAGTATAGTAAAGAAAATGTCTTAAAAGTCTAAAGAATCTTTTACTCTCTGCCAGTCAGTTCTGTGAATTTAAATAATATCATTGCAGGCTAAGGAATTATTAATAGCTTTATTACTTGGAGAACTTTCTCCCAAGCAACTGGAGAAAGGAATGAAAATTCATGTACAGAGTGGTGTGAGAGAGCCAGTCACATTCCTGCACTGAGAACATTATTTTATTTAACAGTCTTTACTACTTAAATCGCTGACAAATCCACCACTTAAAAGTAATGATCACTACTTGTGTTTATATTCATTGTTTCATATCTGGATTAGTAACGATGTCTGGAAAACTGTCTGTGATTTAGAACTTCAGTTCTACTTAAAATATCTTAAAATTGGATGCTCTAAACTTCTGCTTCCAGAAAATGATAGATTATTTAATTGCTGAATCATAGCTGGCTGCCCTGAATAAGTTTTGTTTTTTTATTTTATTTTTAATGGATATTTTGGCTGAATTTTGTTGCTTCTTGCTTTTGGAATGGTTTTTAGATTAATTGTTGAAATTGCAGTAGTCCAGGTATAATTAGGCCATGCCATCTGTCTGACCTTGACTGAGGGAAAATTGGAATAAATTCATGCAGTTATCTGCTTTCACATCTGAAAAATAATTTCTGGATAATTGAGTTTCTCTCATAAAATAACCCTATTGACATTGTATCTGTCCATCACTAATTGCTTGCAACACCAGCAAAGCTGTGAGTTGTAAAGGCAAACAGACACATGCTTAGATAACCTAATGCAGGTTTTAAAATTTGCTGTGTCCAACAGAAGAGTGTGTTTTGTATTTATACTTATGGCAAAGTTTTTACATTTCAGTGTTTGAAACCCAGCCCCTCTTCAGTGTTTATCAAAGGAAACCCTTTGCTGAGATGCCTTTAAATACATTTTAATCATAAAATTAATCCCTCAATCTTAAATAACTTGAAAACTTGAGTGCTTTCCATGCAATGCCAAAGGTGGAGATCTTCCTCCCTACTCAAATTTCCTACACTGCTTAAAGGTGTTGTGAAAAACGCGGTATTAGGAAATTGTGTGAAAAATTTGGCGTGGACTGAGGTGTTTGTAGTCTGTATGCACAGATTAAAGGTACAAGAACCTCTGTGTATTGCCCCTACACCATTCCTGTTTGGAATGGAACCATTCTAGGGCTAAAGAAGATAGAAAGAATAATCCAGGAATATTTATCCATTGGGGATGTGGCTCTCTAATAGTTTTGTCTTCACTCTTTGATGTTCATATTTTTCTCTCTCCTGTTCTTCCACCTCCTTCACACTTTCTCTGCCTTCATTCCAAAGTGTTGTCCTCGAGTTTGTCTCGAATGGTGCAAGAACCATCTCCCACTGCACGTTTTGCATCTGTGAAGTGACCCTAAATCATTGTCCTGTTGTTCCCACAACGGTTTGTTGCTCTCCTACAAGGCCTCCTCGTTCAGCTCCAGCTGCAAACATTGTGCCTCTCATCTCAGGGGACATCACCCTCAGAGGAGAGAAACCCTCTGTATTTCAGCTTTAAAATACTTCCACTGTGGAATTTCTACAAAATCAGGGTTGTTCAGGCCAAAGGCAGGGCATGCAATGGGTAAATACTCTTGGCAGCCTGTTCTGCCTGGCTCCCAAACTTCTGGAAGTCCTTTTTCTATGGATTAATTGCACACATGTGCTCTCTCTCTGCTCAGGTGCAGCAAAGGACTTGCCAAGGTTGTCTCTATTCAGGTTGGACATAATTCTTGGGAGCAGAATTACAGTCACTTCAGGAGGGACAAATGGTGTAGAGGAGTGCTGAGTGGAGTTGGTGACAGCAGCTGAAACAATCCAGCCTCAGCAAAAAAGTCCTGGGTCAAAAATGACATCTCATTAAGCCACTGTCCAGCAGCCTTTGTAAATATAGATGGGTGAGGTCTCTGATAGGAAGAGGATTTTTTATATCACCTTCGCATGGCTTTGCAATAAATGAATCTTTTTTTCAAGTGCTGCTAAATCACCAAGTGTTCCAGGCTACAGAAGTTGAGACTCTCTTTAAATTAACTGGTAATAAAATGCATTGAGGAGAAGAGACCATTTGAAAGGATTGAGGATTTTGGTTTTCATTTTATTTAAACTGATGATTAAGACACTTTTGTAACTTGCATTTTAATTAACTTTTGTGGGACATCTGTTTGATCTGCAGAATTCTGGTTCAGTTGTGTTGTCCCAAGCTCTTAAAACTTCTTTTATCCTCCAGTAAAAATCCTTTACCTGACTTCCACCTTAGTGTAACCTGCTCTGACACTTCTGCCTGTAAGTGCCACTGTAACCTCCAAACTGAAATCCCAGCTATGATTCTTCATGAGGAACTCTCCAGACTGAACCTGTCATGAATGTGTATCATTAGGCCAGGAAAAGACATGCACAAAGTTAGGAGTGTGCTGAGAACACCTCTGAATCAAAGCCTTCATCTGACAGAATTTCAAAACACTGTACTGAAACCTTGATCTAAACTAGAAAATGATGGCTGTAAATCCAGATAGTACCATATTCTTTAATATCTCATTAATACTCAATTAAAATAGAATTTAATTTTTTAGAAATCTTCTTGCTAATTTCCCTGAACTGGTCACGTACTCTGTTAAACATGAGCATGTGTGGGGCAGAACTTCTCACCTTCAAAGGATGCCAAACACTGATTCCCTCCTGAAAGCATTCCTTGAAAACGAGTTTTTCTTAGGATTGTTGGGAAAACTGATGAGGATTTCACACCACAGCACTGAGCACTGTTAGTTTGAGGCACTGTGTACAAATTGATGGCTGCTTTTGGGGTCTCACTAATTTAAGCAGATGGAGGATGGATGAAGTTGAGGCACAAAATGGGGTCCTCAGTTTCCCCTGTGTGCACAGTTTGCAGTTGGAATCCTTAACCTTTGCCTGGACATGAACATTTGGCATTTGCCACAGGAATTATTCTGTATAATTGGGTAAAGGGGGGGGGATATTCTGGAGATCAGAATTGGACCTGGTGTCACTAACAAGGGACATCCTGGGAAAAACTGTGCTGCTCTCAGGAGCAGGTTATTCGGTTTTTGGCAGTTTTTTGACAAAAGTTTCCCACACTGATAATATGGAGGGGGTTTGTGTACAGGCTTCTGTTGTTTCTGAGCATATCCTGTTGGGATTATTTTGGGATGAATTCATTAGGCCACTGATACCACTTTGATCCCAGTTCTCCCTCTACAAATCTGGGAATAGGCTGGGTAGGCATTCTGTGTAATCTCTTGTTTATATTAATGTATATAAAGCAGGGAGCAGGCACCAAAAATGATCTCCTGTATTTCTGAAATTGAAGCTTCTGTTGTTCCCAGAAATGAATTAGATTTTGAACTATTCCAGACATACAAAAAGCCAAACAAACCCCAAAGTGAGTGCAGGCAGATCGTTTCTAGCAGGCTGATAGGTGCTGGTGAACGAGGAGGTGGATGGATTTCTCATTAGCCAGACATTTAATTCCCAATGTGTTTATAGCCACTCTAAGCAGTCTGTGGCTCTGCAGAAGGTACATCATGGCAATTCAGTCAGCAGATGATAGACACAGATAACTGTGCTGAAGCCTTTGAGAAAACTGCTTAGGATTTTATAGCCTGTGGCATTTGAGGGAGAAAACTGATAGCTGCTGTGTGACTCAATAGAATGCTCAACAATTGGCGGCAGATTTTAGCTTTCTGCTTGGGCTGTTGATAATTGCTACCTTAATTTGATCTAGGTGACCTGGGGTGATCATAATTTCCAAAACAGGCTTTGATTTCATTGATGAAAAATGTGACCTTGACTGCAGCTTTCAGAGTGCAAGACAGTGTCAGATGAGATACGGATAATGGGAGAAATCTGTGCTCTTCTGCAAGGAAAGGAAAAAGAAAACAACAACAAAAAGTAACAATCAAACAGAAATTTAGAAATCTACCCCGAACCAAAACTAGCAGCTGTTTCTTAATGGTGTGTGGGTTTCTGACAGGAAAGTAAACATTAATGGAACTCCACCAATAGCCTTAGAAACCAGCACATGAATTTAGCAAAACATAAATGTGCTCACTCCAGTGCATGTATTTATTTTTCCACGAGAAATGGATGCCTCAGATAAGCTTCTGAATAAAGCTTTTATCAGATATGTAGTAGTTGCTACTGTACCTTCAAAATGGGGTCACTTTCCCATGTCTTATCTGTCCTGAGAAGTAAAAAACCCACAATTTCCCATTTTGTGTTTTTAATAGAGTAAGAGCTGCTAACCTCCTGTGAAGTATTTGGGGCTCCCTTGGTGAGCAGTTCGCTCCTGAAAGGAGTGATTGTTGCCCTGATTTTTACAAGTGTTAAGTTTTCTTTTATAGTTCTTTTGAAAGTTTTAAAATTCTCATAAAACTTCTTTAGCCTTCTGATAATGCTTACATATTTCTACTGGAGTTCTCACGCACTGTTCATGTAAATAATGATTGTTTTGCTTCTTCTTTGTGGGAGGAGAGAATTGATGGGCTGTTGGTTTGACTAGTGTGGTTGGAGAGGTGGAAATTGCATCCTCCAACCCACTGTCACTTTTGGAATTCTATATATTGCGAGGTCAGAAATAAAATTTGCTCTTTTTCCTCTTTTGAACTTCCCAAGCTTCTGTGTACTCATTTCATGTCTGATAGCGACAGGTGATGACCAAGGAGCAGTCAGTGTCCCCAGGAATCCCTGTCAGTTGTTTCATTAGGAACTTTGCAGAGGTTGTTATTGCCACAGGGAGAGGGGAGGAAATTATTCATTGTCCCTTTTTTTAATCGTGGCTGGTGCACAAGGCTGCAGGCTGGGAGGTGGGATTGGAACTGGTACCCTATGGAACTAATAATAGGGTTCTGAGTGTCAGAACCCTGTCAGCTCTGTTCTGGAGCAAAACATAAGTGTAAGAGATGTCTGTAAAGGAACTTTTTAATTTTATGAATTGCACATGCAGGGAAACCTGATGGTTGGATTTCACAGATGGTTTTAAAGACATCAGCTTTGGAATTACTTTTAAAAATAAAATATCATCGTGTCTTTTAGTGGAAACCTGAAAAAAGTTTCTACTTCTTTACTGAATTTCACTATCTAAGTGTGGTAGTTGTAGCAGTGGTGAGCATGACCCAGTCAGGATCTCCTGGGAGCTCTGATGACAAAAATGCTGTTTTGTTCAATAAGATACAGAAATGAATGTTTTTAGGAAATAATGTGCTTGGTTTTCTTTATCTGCTTCTCTAAGGAGACAAAATGAGGTGTTTCTTTGATAAGGTGTAACTTGATCTGCTTTTCTTGTCCCTGCCTGGTCCCAGAAGAATTCTTAGGCTGATATATCTAAATAACAAAGAGCTTCAGCTCAGGCCAGGTGACCTGGCTGTGTCACCAAACTGCTGCAGGGCTGGCTGTGTGTCACAAGACAGCAGGGCCATATTGGGGAAGCTGCTGTGGGAAGGGAGGAGGTTTTGTGAGTATCAGAGATCGTGCTTGGCTGCAGCTTCTGTATCCGTGCAGCCTCCCTGTCCCTGCAGCCTCCCTGTCCCTGCTGCATCCTTTTCTCTGCAGCATCCCTGTCCCTGCAGCCTCCCTGTCCCTGCAGCATCCCTGTCCCTGCAGCATCCCTGACTCTGCTGCATCCCTGACTCTGCTGCATCCTTTTCTCTGCAGCCTCCCTGGTCCTGCAGCATCCCTGTCCCTGCAGCATCCTTGTCCCTACAGCATCCCTGGCCCTACAGCATCCCTGGTCCTGCAGCCTCCCTGTCCCTGCAGCCTCCCTGACCCTGCAGCCTCCCGGAGCAGGCTGCAGGTGGCAGCTGTGGAGCTCAGCAGCAGTGAGGAGCTGCAGCTCACACAACCTGGCAGCACCAGCTGAGCCCTGATGGCTTTTTAATGGTTACCTCGCTCATCCTCGAGGTAGAAAAAGCGCCATTTGTAGTCATTTAAAGACAATTTTCTGCTGACATTAAGATGCTTCTGTAATGTTGATGAATGTCTTGCTTCTTACCACATCTTCTGTTGGAACAGTAATTAAACCAACACTGGGGTTCAGCTCAGCTCTGTCTTCTCTCTGTTCCTTGGCTCCCCACTCCTCCAGGAGGGTTGCCTGATCCATTTTGTGTTCATTCCAAGTGACAGTGACTTTATTCTTCACACTGGTGAGCCCCAAAACTAACACAGTTTTCCTCATGTATGTTTTGCTTCACATGATTTCATAGTTAGCAAGGTTTAATCAGAAATTAGTACGAGTAGAGAAGAAATTTTACGTGGTTAAAACAAATGTTGTAGTTGCAGTAAAAAAAAAATATTCACACACATTGTATTTCTTGCTGGTTTAGGGAATATCATTAAAGGTAGCTGGCCTCTATAAAGAGCTTCATTCAAAACTTCAGGAAATACTTCTTTCCATAAAAATCTAAATAGAATACCTCTTGATTTTACAATAGACTAAAATAATAAACTGCCCTTGATATAAAAAAAGTTATGTATGAAAAATAAAAAGTATTTAAATGGTTTTCCAAACTTGCATATCTATTTAAAAAAAACCGCTCTTCAGAATCACTTCTTTATATCCTGTGATTTTATGTTTATTTCTGCCTGTAAAAGGATAACAGCAGAAGCCAGTGGTGTTAAGTACTGCAAAAGTACTTTTATTGAGATGGTGTGTGAGGAATGGATTCAGTCAGTGTTAAAATTTTCTGCATGCTTCCAGTGCCTTCTCATCACTAATCTGTTACTGCCAGGAGGATTTTTTACCATTTTTTTTTGTGTCCATGTGTATCAGTTCCTTCTCAGATTCCCTGGTTTTCACTTGCCAAAAAGCAAAGGCCATCAGCTGCCCTTTGACTCAAACTCCTCTGTGTCAATCATGACCAAACTCACGATTTACTTTTTATCTCCTTTTATCTGCAGAAAGAACTTCCTCAGATAGAAACTTTTTCCACACTTTCACCTATCCCAGGATTCACAAAATGGCTCGTTGGTCTGCTCTCCTCCCAGACAAAAGAAAAGGGAAGGAATGAACTTTTTACAGAATCTGAATGGCAGGAAATCTCTGAGATCACAGGAGACCCCACCGGCAACACCCTAAAGAAACTCTTGAACACCAACGAGTGGGTGAGGTCAGAAAAGCTGAGTGAGGTGCTGCATTCCCCCCTGATGAGACTCTGTGCCTGGTACTTGTATGGGGAGAAGCACCGAGGTTATGCCCTCAACCCCGTGGCCAATTTCCACCTGCAGAATGGCTCGGTGCTCTGGAGGATCAACTGGATGGGGGACACGAGCCCCAGGGGCATCGGGGCCTCCTGTGGCATGATGGTCAACTACAGGTATTTCCTGGAGGAGACAGCCTCCAACAGTGCCCTGTACCTGGGCTCCAAGCAGGTCAGAGCCTCCGAGCAGGTGCTGGCCTTGGTGGCCCAGTTCCAGCAGAACAGCAAGCTGTAGATGTTGTAGTGTCCACAGCAGCAACACTCAGGATGAGTGTTCCTCTCTGCAGAGAGCTGTACTCACCTGCAGTGTCTCCACTTTGCTCAGAATGCACCTTGTAGGACAGATTTGTTCAGGGTTACCTGGGTTATTGAATCACCTGTGGTGTGTGCAGAGGGGTTGGAGTTGTGTGTTTATGTTGAGTAAAATCCTCTTCATCAGGTGCAGCCCCCGGGGGTAGCTTGAATGGAAAATACCTGAGACAACATTATTCTGTTGGTAAGAAATTGTTTAAGCTGTTTTTGAAAGGAGCTGCACTTCTCTGTCAAAATGCTGCTATAGATTGTTGAGAACCAAAGTACCTGGAATAAAGGTAAATTTTGGGTCAAATATATTATCAAAACAGCATTATGCAGTTGTTTTTTTTCTACAATATCTGTCTTTTGCACCTTCAGAAAAATCTCATGTAAAACTTCCTGGTATTTTCCTGTTTAAATCTAAAACTCACAGAACCCTTGCTTTGCTGGAGCGTGGAAAAGCCTCGCACTAATGTTAAAAAATCAAGATCTCAGTACAGCAGATATGTTGTGTTAGATTTGCATGTTTTGGCTGCTAAAATTTAATGAGCAATAAGGAAGTGTTCAGATAGGAGAGGAGAACAATCCAGAGTGTTACTTGGGAATCAGGTGAGGAGTTTCTAAATATGTATATTATATGTTGGCTCTGGTAATGTTTTAAGTTGATAAAGAGCTTTTTTAAAGAGGTAGGTGTGATTTATAAACCAATAAAACAAATTTTCTCAATAAATCATGGTTTGTGGATTTCAACATCTCCCTCCTTCACTTAGTGACCCTCCTTGACAGCAGTTTCACCACACAGTTACTACAGGACACTCCTGTTTTTAACAGTGATCAGGGCTTGGCTCCATTCTCTGGGGCTTTCTGATCTTTCTCAACTGCCTTAGAAGTCAGATTTCAAGGTGAAATTCAGGTGCTTGTATAAACACATACAAGGCATTCTTGGCTGGCAGGAATAGAGCAAGAGAACCCTCTCTTTGTTAAACTCTTCAGGTTTGAGGGAACCAGGTCACTTACTTCAAGTGAGAGTTCTGAAAATGCAATAGTTGTGAAAGATGGTTTTATTTTGAAGCAGGAGGAGCTATGAGGGCAATTAAATCTGCATCCTCCTGGCCATAATTCAAAAAGAGCTAATGCTTCTGCTGTATTGCAGATGGAAATACAACATAATCCCATATTCTTAACAGCTGGACTCGAAGGATAATGAGTTTTTTCCACTTGGAGCCTCAGACAATTGTATGAGAATTGGTTCAGTGACATGAAATGATAGCAGCATATGAGGGAGGAAAAGCAAAGCAGCTAATGTTTCGTTAACACTTCAGTTATTTCCCAGACCTGCCTGCCTACATCTCACACAGCTCAGGGCAAGAGGGCTTCTCTCTATTTTCCTTCCTACCAACCTTCAGATCAGGATGGATGCTGGCATTTGGGCATGGCAAACAAATCCCCACTGCTTTGTCAGCTGCTGATCCGTGTGGTCACAATCAGGGCATGTCACAACCAGCTCTGTCCCTGTCCCCTCGTGCAGGTGCCACGTTTCTCTGGGTGTTGAATTAACCACTCACCCTGCATCAGCAACCAGTTTAATCTGCTGGTATCCCCAGGAGTTGTGATGTGGGGCTGGGGAGGATTGCAAAGCTGCAGCAGCTTCTTCCCAGAGCTCTTGTGGACGGGTACATTTGTTAGGTGACATCTGGTCTCCATCAGAACCTCAGCACCTGCAGAGCTGTTTCCTTTTCAGCAGTTGTGGTGGTTGTGCTTGTTGGTTGTGTTGTGCTTTCTGAGGTCACATCATCTGTTACACTGAGGAGTTAGCAATGTGAGGCCAGAGCTCCTGCAGTGACTCTGTGTCCCAATCACAGCACCAGCGGCACTGCAAAAGCATCATTTGGAGATGGAGGTGGGACAGGCTGCCCATAAAAGCCATCTGCTGTTAAGTGCTATTAGTTTGCTTTCACTGGCCATTGATTTTGTCTTTCTGTTGGATTTTCCAGCTTGCTACTAAAGAGAGATTTTAGCATGAAAGATGCTGAGGAGAAAAAAATTAAATATTCACCATCTGTGTTACTTACCAGGACGTTAACTGGAGAGGAGTGTGCTCTGTCCCAGGGAGTCTTCACCACCCTGAAAGAAGAGAGAGTGCAGTTCCTTCCTGTCCCTGTCAGTGAGTGCCACTGCAGTGCCATTTCTGAGGAGCACAGAAGGGTGTGGAGAGGAAAAAGGGGAGGCTGCTTTCAGTGCCTCTCCTCAGCGAGCAGCAGGAGCTGCTGTGCTGCAAGGGGCTGCATAGAAAAGCATCTCGGTTTCACAGCTGCATCCTGCCTTTGGAGGCAAATCCATAGAAATTATGTTGCTTTGTCACTTTGGCTTGTTTATGATCAACTCAGGCTGCTTACCCAGGAGTGGGACCTCCCTTAGTGCCAGTTTTGTGGGGTTGAGTGGGAGATGTGCCCTGGGTGGGCACTGAGAGCCCAGACAATGCTTTGTTGCTATCGGACACTAAATGAGTACACAGAAGCTTGGTAAGCTCAAAAAAGAGCAAGTTTTATTCAAACATTTGGTATTTATAGAATTATAAAGGTGACAGTGGATTGGAGGATGCAATTTCCACCTCTCCAACCACACTGGTCAAACCAACAGTCCATCAATTCTCTCCTCTCACAAAGAATGCAAAACAATCATTATTTACATGAACAGTGTGTGAGAACTCCAGTAGAAATATGTAAGCATTATCAGAAGGTTAAAGAAGTTTTATGAGAACTTTAAAACTTTCAAAAGAACTATAAAAGAAAATTTAACACTTCTAAAAATCAGGGCAACAGTGCTTGGCTGGGGGATGTGCAGTTTTCAGTTCACTTACAGGTGCTGGGCCATCACAATCCTGCTGCAAGAAGGAAGTGCTTGAATTAGACAAACTTTCCATGTGTATCTCTGCAGTTTATTTTACTTATTGACTGTCAGCTCAGTACTGAAAACCAGAAGGTTGTATTGCATTTTTATATGATGCCTAATACTAATCAATATCCATCTCTTCCTCTTTATCATCTCTTAATTGTGGGCAGAATTAACAAAGATAATCTCTGGAAGGCATCAGCTGTAGCTGAAAGAGATAAATTAAACAGTACCTGGTCAGATGGTGAAGAAATAAAAGATATTCTTTTTTTCCATTTTTAAGAAATGGCTAGAAAAAAAAGTAATTTTTACTAAACTGTTTAAGCTAATAGGCCTTTTTTTTCTTTTTAAGGAATGAAAAGTATGAAGGAAAATTAAAGTAACTCAGTCACTGAAACAGATTTTCAAAACTCTCTGCTAAATGTGACTTTTAAATGAGACAATTCATTAACCCAGCTACTGGGGATTGGATTGGAATTATTTACTGAATCTTAACCAGAGTCAGAATTTGGGACTGTTGAGGGGAGTGGTGGAGAAAGATTGAGAATTAAAATGACACATGTTTTTTTCTGCCTAATTACAAAAGAAAAGGAAATTATGCCAGAACGTTAAATAGGGAAAAAGTCATTACATTATTACAGTCTGCATGTAAGAATATACTTAGATAGACTTCATGTTCCAGAACGGTATTTAAAATGCAATTTAAATATTTAAATTGTGTTTGCTTAAATTTTTTAAATGCTGTTGGTTTTTTTTTTCAGAGAATTTTCTCCCGATGAGATGGCCTTGAAATTTCATTTTTTTTACTGCAACGAAAGTTCTCCTAACGAGCTATGTTGAGTTAAGAAGATGCCTTTAGGCAAAGGATAAACTTTTAATTGGATTTTTGAATAATCATCTTTTGAGTCCTGCTCAAACTTCAGATTGTGTTTGAAACACATTTTGCACCGTGGATCTTTGATGTCACACTCCAAAGGTGCAGCTCTCTGTTGGATTATAGACAGACACCCTGCAGTGGGAGAGTTTGTAGGGAGGGACCTTAAAAATCACCAGCTCCACCCCTGCCATGGGCAGGGACATTTCCACTGTCCCAGGGTGCTCCAAACCCTGGCCTGGGGCACTTCCAGGGATCCAGGGGCAGCCACAACAGCTGTGAGCAATAAATAGTGCTGTTTTTTTAATGTGTTTGAAGCAGCCCAGGCTGGATTTGCTCTCCTGGCTCCCAGGACAGCCCTGACTCTCTGATCCTCCTGCACCCCCAGATCCCTTCCTGCAGGGCTGCTCCCCAGCCTTTCTTATCCCAGTCTTTATAGCCCAGGAAAATTCTTCATCAGACCTGTGATTTTCATCTCCTGTGGCTTTTTTTTTTTACCTCCCCACTATCCTTGCTGCTTTTCTCTGGCTCCCACCCTGTCATGGCCCTTTTATTCTCCTGCTGTCACAGGAGACACTTTGCTCTTACCCAGGTGAAGTTCCCAGAGCTTTAACCTGCTCTGCCTGTCAGGGACACAGCTGGAGAGGCTCAGAGCCTGCAAGCCAAGCAATGGAGCATGCTGGGGACAGCTAAATTCTTCAAAGAATTCAGCTGGCTGATCGTATTTCCCCTGAGCTTGTGCAAGCAAAGACGTTCAGAGGCTTCAAATCAGGATAGATTTGTCCAGCTTCTACAAGAACCTGGTTTTCTCCCAGTTAACCACCAGAGCACTGAAGGGAGAAGGTGCTAAAGCATCTTTGTGAAATTGCATTAACAGCAGAGCACAGTGATACCTGTTCCTCATAACTTTATCCTCAGAGAAGTATCGAGGGTTTTTCCTCCCTGACAATTATTGTTCACCAAGTGTCTTGGTTTGAAAAGCCAGCTGTCTGCTAAGGAAGGCAGGAGCCTCCCGTGAAATGGACAATAAATAAACCCTCTCTCTTTGAATTGTTATAATTCTGAAATTAAGGGGCTCTCAGGCAAAGATATGGAAATAGAAATAAAAGTTCTTTATTAGGAAAACTAAAGATACAAATGCAATAGTACACATTAAAAGAAAAACCAACAAAAAAAACCAAACAAAACAGAACAAAAAAAAAAAAAAAACAGTGGGGAAGAAAGCTGCTCCTCTGGGAATGTAGTGGGAAGAAAGCTGCTCCTCTGGGAATGCAGTGGGCAAAGGCTGCTGTGCTGTTCCCAGGTCAGATTGTATCCAGGTAGGAATTTTTGGCTCCTCCCCTGGGCAGAGCATCTCCCCATGGGATGATGGAATTTTCTCAGCCATGCAGGGACACTCATTGGCCATGAACAGAAGATAATTAATAATTAGTAGCCCATGAACAGAAGAGATCTCCTGGAGGGAGGATTTGGTGTGGAAGAGATAAAGAAAAACTGCCCAAAGAACAGAAATAACTGCCCCGCCTCTGACAGATGGCAACAGAACACACACCCCCATTTCCAGCCTGAGACACCAAGGTATGGAGGTGCACAGGAACTTTCAAGCTGAATGGACTGGATTTTAGGGACAGCTGTCCTCTTTTCCCAAGCAGCCCATGGAGGGATTCTTGGCAGATCCATCACGGAAAAACACATGTTCTATTTGATGATAAGGAACTGTTCTGTGAGGCACAGCAGCACAGGTGTATTTCTCTGTTTCTTAACATGCAGCTGATTTAGATAAGATCACTCAGAGAGCCCATAAAGCCATTAAAATGTGGTGTTGTAAACTCCAGTCACCCAGCTGGATCAGAAGCCTGTGCAGTGCTGGGTGAGAGAGCCTTAACAGAATGAATGATGTAGGAGTGAAAGCTTTTAAAACAGAACAAGGCTCTTCTCGCTGCTACACAGATTCATCATTTCTT